AATCTTATGAGTTTGGGGGACCTGTGTCATGATTTTTGAATGTTTGGGGTTGGCAATACTACAGTCGCCTGATATGGGACATACACAGAGATTGACTCGGGATCTACTGCATTAGGGACAGGGCCGGCGCAACCCATTAGGTGACCTAGGCGGTCGTCTAGGGCGCTAACATTTGGGGGGTGGTGATTGCAGCGGCCGGATCTTCCGCCGTCCCGGTCGTCGGTGGTATTTCGGGGGCGGGACCTTCCGCCGCCTAGGGCGGCAAAAAAGCTGGCGGCGCTCCTGATTAGGGATCAGATCCAGCACCCATTGAAGTTAGTGGTAAAGCTCCCATTTCTTTTGGCTGTGTAGGAGTAGGTCCTAAAAGCAGGAGCATCTACATTTGGGCCTGGTCTACACTAACACCCCAATTCGATCTAAGGTACGCAACTTCAGCTACGTGAATAACGTAGCTGAAGTCGACATACCTTAGTTCGAATTTACCGCGGTTCAGACGCGGTCCACACGCGGCAGGCAGGCTCCCCCGTCGACTCCGCGGTACTCCTCTCGCTGAGGTGGAGTACCGCAGTCGACGGCGAGCACTTCCTGGTTCGAATTATCGCGTCCAGACCAGATGCGATAAATCGAACCCGGAAGTTCGATTGCCAGCCGTCGAACTACCGCGGTAGTGTAGACCTGGCCTTGCTCAAATATTAAGCTCCTCTTTTTTGGCCTCTACCGTAGATTTGTTAATTTATTCTGTGGACTAACCACAAAGAGGGAGGGGGAGGCAGAGACCTACTATGTGGCTTGACAAAGGTTGGCTCATCACTCTGGTGTTTGCAGGAAGAATGTTTTGACGTGAGCAGAATTTGGTAGGACATTTTTCTTTCTTTCTGACTCATTTTTGGTGGGGAAATGTTTGCTATTAGAGGTGGCAGACATTTTTAAACACGAAAAGCTTTTTTAGTCAAAAATAGCCAATTTTATATTCCTAAACTGATAATTTTCACAACAAATGTGTCCACTTTCAAAATGTCCCATGATATCTTTTTTCAGTATTGCTTGCCAATATTTTTTGTTTAAGTGTTTTCCTGGTTTCTTCTTTTTTTCCCCTTCCCCTCACCCCCTTTGCCTTTCCTTTTTAATGTCAGAAGAGGGCTGAAGAAAAGAGGAAAGCAGGACAACTGAAAAAGCTAAAAGAAAAATACCTTGCTAAACATTTAAAACAATTGTGTATTGAAACCTACAAACCAAAACTTTGAAATTTTGAATCAAATTGTTTTACATTTCTGTTTTTACCAGCTATAGTTCCAACGTGCTTGATTCTGGGCCGCTGAGCTTGTGATTTCACTAACAACTGTGAAATATGAGCGACTGATTCAAACTCCGCTGAATTAAATAGGAATCTTTCCACTGACTTCAGTGGGCTTTGGATCAGGGCCTTATGATTCAAAGGTGTACAAGACTATACAAGCTGCAAGGCAATGGAAAATCAGTCACGTTGAGAGAGGGATGGGCGATGGGATGGATCACTTGATTATTACCCTGGAATGGGTTACCTAGGGAGGTGGTAGAATCTCCTTCCTTTGAGGTTTTTAAGGTCAGGCTTGACAAAGCCCTGGCTGGGATGATTTAGTTGGGGATTAGGTCCTGCTTTGAGCAGGAGGTTGGACTAGATACCTCCTGAGGTCCCTTCCAACCCTGAGATTCTATGATTCTATAATACCTGAGCTCAGAGAGCCATAACACCTAATTAATGCATTCAATGAATCAAAGCCACCCTCGGTGTAATTGGTGCCTTGGGGATTAATTTGACCTACTCTTTCTTACTGTGTTATTAAATGATGCAATTTCTACCACAGTTACAGAGTATGAGGTTAGGGGTATATTACATACTGCTGTTTTCACTGCAAGCTGGGTACTCTCCAGAGCTGGTCCACAAAGTTTTTTTTTTTTTTTTGTGGAGACCAAAATCTTTTTGCTAAAAAGTTAATATTTAAACACAGAAGTACCACAGGGGTGCATCTGATACCACACACCACCAATCTCTTCCATGGGCCAGGCTCCCAGGCTCCACTACATTCCCCCATGATGAATGATGGTCTCTGCTCTTGCTGAACTGCCCTGGAACATCACCAGAGTCCCACAGCCTTGGTTTAGGGAGCAGGGGAGTTTGGTATGTTGATTGAAATCATATAATTTCCAAGGAAAATATAATTTCATGGCAAAAATATTTTAATGGAAAATCAAAAAAACTTCCCAAGAAAAATTTTCACCCAGGCTCAGTAACAAATTTAGAATCAAAGAAAGAGAAAGTTAGATACAGGTGAAACATACTAATTGTTTGCAGCTGTAGCTGATGTCTTCTCAGTCATTCCTGGTTTCAGAATCACTTCATTGTCCTGGCCCTAATAGGTGGAATGTAAAACCTGTAAGACATGTAAGAGTACGCCAGATTATCCAGCTATTTATAGCATGCCAATCACCATGCTATGCTTTGCCGTTCCCTTGCAAAGTAGGAAAGCTAGGTTCACTCATTTTGCTTGATGGAGACCACATGATGACCAGAGGAGCTCAGGAGGAGACCACAGCATGCTCCGGACTTCTGCAGTTCACAAAACTATCTCTCTAGCATGCCTATTATCTGCACACAGAGCTCAGCTTTAAGATGCTAAATAAATCTATGAGTCAACTAGAAATAGTCATGCTCTCATCGCAAATATTAATATATATATATTTTTATAATGTATGTGAAGTTATAAGATGACACTGTATCATGTTATTAATACATGTTCCAAACTGAGGCTGGCAAACTGGTCTGTCTTAAACAAAGAAATGTGTGCTCTGCTTAATTTTTTATCTAAACAGTAACCAGACTCATCAAGCAGGAAGGGAAACAAAGGAAGCCCAAAAAGGTGAGGAAAACACAGCAGGGAACATTCTTCTACCTAGAGTTTTTGTCTTCCAGAAACCAGGTGGAAATGTTTCTCAAAGGGGGGATAGGATTATAAAAAGAAGGGGCAGACATCCCAAAGCACCACTCTCTCTCTTTCTCCCCATTGATTCACTGCATCTGGAGGGATAAAGGAAGCAGCCATTGGACTTCGGGAGGGGTCCTGACCTAAGAAGTTTGGTCAGGAAGACTGCTGAAAGCATGTGGTGAGAAATCTTTTGCTTTGAATTTCACATCATTTGTTAACTTAGGCACAAGTTGCATTGTAGCTTTATTTTTCTTGTAACCATGTCTGACTTCTGTGCCTCCTTATTTATACTCACTTAAAATCTATCTGTGTAGTCAATAAACTTTGTTTTATTGTTTTATCGAATCCAGTGTGTTTAAATAGAAGAGTCTGAAAAGCTAAGTTGCATGCATGTTAGTGCTGTTACAGAAATAATGGACAATGTAACTTGTATTGTCCAGGAGAGGACTGGGCAGCGCAGGATGTACATTTCGGGAGGAAATCAAAGACTGAGGAATGTGTTGGGGTCACCCTGCAGTATAACCAAGGGTGGGAGACCTCTCACCTGTTGTAGTCTGTACTCCACCTCCCTCAGACACTATGTTCCATCATGGATCTTTCTAAGGGCTGGGCTACACTAACGCTGTCGGCTGATCTATGTTACACTACTTCAGTTATGTAACTCTCTGGTGACATAGCACGGTGTGGACACCGCTGTAAATCAGACTAACTTAGTCAACTTGAAGTAGCATAACTTAGATCAATTGACAGCAGTAGCGTACACCAGTCCTGAGAACGATGCAGGACAGAACATAGCCCAGTCGTCAGGGTACTGTCCGGCAATGTGGGAGACCCACTTTCAAATGGCTTCTCCCCATCAGACAAAGGTGGGATTGACCTGAATCTCACACATCCCACAGGAGTGATCTAATCACTGGGTTAAAGTCTACAAGGGAAACAGCATCATTACCGGCTCTTCCATTCCCATCCATTTTGTCAGTGTGGCCCTACACTGTCTTTGTTTTTACATTGAAAAGTATCCAGGAAGGAAAGGAAAACTTCCATTTCTGTTCATGTAAAAATATTTCCTTCGACCCCACAGGACATTTTTGTCAATGTTTTCCAGTTTGCCAAACATTTAGGGAATTTTCAAATTTGGTTCAGATTGAACTGAATTTGTTTTTCAATTTTTTGTAACCACCCATGAACTCAAAAATCAGCTATTGACCCAGCTCTATCCATTTCTCACTCACCGTAACCCGAGCTGTACAATTCCCAGAATTCCTGTTCTTCAGAGTCCATAGTACTTTCCCACAGAATGAAGAGTAAGAACTCACAGCTAACCTGCTCATGTGGTATAAACATCTAGTGTCTGATACGACTTTTTCTTTCTGGTTCATTTATATGGTAGAGAAAACTCAAGCTTTTCATATTATTTTGTATTCAGTTCAGTGCAGATTCTCACAGAGGACGCACAGACACCATGCTCTCTTTTGGAAATCTTACTCTTGTTCTTACTTTATTTGTTGCTCCCTTAACTTAAAAGAAAGGCCATTGGGATGGAAATCACCTTTCTCCTCCATAAGCATGGATACAAACCAGGCAACAATTTCTTCAACAACCCCATAGGGAACATAAAGGGCTGCAGAGTATCAGGAGGGTGTGCAAAACTCCCTTTGGTTCAGCCATAGAAATCCCACACTTCATACTTGCAACTGCATAACGAAACCAAACCCACTACAAAGCAGAGGGAGATAGATTAGATGCCTCCCTCTTCTTTCCCAGTACAAATAGCTCTGTGATTTCGAAGCACATCACATATATTCACACATGTGAAACAGGTGCCTGCTGTAATTTTGCTGGGGTAATTGCCTAATAAAGCCCTGATTTTAGGTGGGGCCTGCAGGCCGTGTTGGAATACAAGCAGATTAATAATAATAACAATACAATAATGAACAATACTCCCAAGGGCTCTGTGAAATTACATTGCAATGGCATGGGAAATTAATTCACCTGTTTCCACTCCCCATCACTAAACCAGTACTGAGTTAAACAGAGTCAAATATTGGTTAGGAGTTTATTCATTGCTCTCCTCAGGGCGTCCTTCACCTCCGTGTTCCTCAGGCTGTAGATGAGGGGGTTCAACATGGGGATCACCAGCGTGTAAAACACTGAGGCCACTCTGTCTCTCTCTATGGAATAGCTGGAGGTGGGACATAAATATATGAAGAATTGGGTGCCATAAAACAGGACCACAACGGCCAAGTGGAAAGAGCAGGTGGAGAAGGCTTTGTGTCGGCCCTTGGCGGAGTGGATCTGCAGGATGGTGGAGATGATATAGACATAGGAGAGGATGACAGTCACAAAAGTGCCCACTGTAAAGCAGCATGTGAAAATAAACATCACAATCTCATTGATGCGGGTATCAGAACAGGAGAGCGCCAAGAGTGGGGGGATGTCGCAGAAGAAATGATTGATGATGTTGGAGCTGCAGAATGACAGCCGAAATATAAAACACGTGTATATCATTGAATCCACAATCCCCACAGCGAACGCCCCAGCCACCAGCTGTTTACAAAGCTGCCTGGACATGGTGACTGTATAGAGCAGCGGCTTACAGATGGCCACATAACGGTCATACGCCATCAGGGCCAGCAAGAGGCTCTCAGCATCTGCAAAAGCGATAGAGAGAGACATTTGCACAGCGCAGGCAGTTTTAGAAATGCTTTTCCTCTCGGCTAAGAAATTCAACAGCATCTTAGGGGAAATTGTAGAGGAAAAGAAAAGGTCACAGAAAGACAAAATACTGAGGAAAAAGTACATGGGGGTCTGGAGCTGTGGATCACTCATGATTAACAAGATGATCCCCCCATTCCCTACCAGGGTGATACCATAAATCAGTAGGAACACCCCAAACAGGGGAACCTGCAGCTCTGGACGATCTGTCAATCCTGAGAGAATGAACTCAGTCGCCTCCGAGTGATTTCCCCTTTCCATCTCCTCTGAACAGAGATCAGGCAGCTACAGAGATGTGGTCAGGTGGATGGTGCGAAAAACATGTCCCTTCTCCTTAATGAAGTGAGAGAAAATAAACGGAGATTAGTTTCTTAATGCACATCAGTACCCGCTCAGGGAAGGGCTTAGTTCACAGAGACAGATGTTCACAGCTGGTCATTCCAGGTGTTCGATAAGATGCACACACTGTGCAAATACAATAACCCGCAGATTAATCATGCCCCACACACAAACACTCCTGTTCACTAATCCAAACAGAAAACAGTGACTTGTTACTCTGCTGTGAGAGAATCAGTCTGTAGAGATTATTCCTTAGCTAAAGAAGGGGTGAGAGTAGAGTCTCAATCTTTCTACCCTCTTTGGGCAAGGGGAGCTCTGTGGCTTGGCATGTCAGTTTGGGGTAAAGCTCCCTTACTGTGCTAATTAAGCTGTTTGGCATTTGCTTTAGCCTGTATGAAAACCCAGAGACATAATGGAAATCACTGGTTTAGGTGACTATGTAATTGGCTATTTTTTACAACCAAGGAGGTTGCTCCTTTAGCTGAAGGGGTAGGAGTTGGGGCTGAGGCTTTAAGTGCTGGAGGTCTTGAATTTAATACCTGCTGATCCCCATAGTCTCCGCGTGTGTGTGACTGTAATTCAGGACAATACCACGTACCTGCTGAGAAGAAAGAGAGAGATGTGGTGGCATTTCTCCAATGACAGAAACTGCCAGTTTGGAGCATTCGGGAAATTTTATACTGAGATGTGTGATCTATGGGACATGATTCCTGAAGCAACTGGGAATACCTGAGCCCAGAGAGCCATAACACCTAATTAAGGCATTCTGTGAACCAAAGACACCCTCGGTGAATTTGGTGCCCTGGGGATTAATTTGACCTACTCTTTCTTACTGTGTTATTAAATGATGCAATTTCTATCAGAGTTACAGAGTATGAGGTTAGGGGTATATTTCATCCTGCTGTTTTCAGTACAAGTTGGGTAGAACTGATCCACAAAGGGTTTTTTTTTTTTGTGGAGACAGAATTCTTTTTCTAAGAACTTAATATTTTGACTCGGAAATACCATGGGGCGCCTCATATACCACACACCAGCAATCTCTTCTATGTTCCATGCTCCCGGGCTGGACTACATCCCCCCATGATGCATGATGGTCTCTCCTCTTTCTGAACTGCCCTGGAACTTCACCAGAGTCCCACAGCCATGGTTTAGGGAGGAGGGGAGTTTGGTTTTTTTGATAGAAAGCTGATAATTTCCAGGGAAAAAATAATTTTATGGAAAAAAGAGTTGAATTGAAAATCCAGTTTCCCATCAAAAAAATTTCCCTAGAAAAACGTTCAACCAGCCTTAGCAACAAATTTGGATTCAAAGGGAAAGAAAGTTAGATACAGGTGAAACGTACTAATTGTTTGCAGCTGTAGCTGATATCTTCTGAGTCATTCCTGGATTCAGAATCACGTCATTGTCCTGGCCCCAATAGGTGGAATGTAAAACCTATACGACATGTAAGAGTACTCTAGATTATCTAGCTATTTACAGCATGCCAATCGCCAAGGTATCCTTTTTTCCTTCCCTTACTAAGTTATCCCCCAAAGTAGCAAAGATAGGTTCACTCATTGTGCTTGATGGAGACCACATGATGAGCTGAGGAGCTCAGGAGAAGACCACAGCATGCTCCGGACTTCTGCAGTTTACAAAACTATCCCTCTTGCATGCTTATTATCTGCACACAGAGCTCTGCTTTAAGATGCTAAATAAATCTATGAGTCAACTAAATAAATCTCATCGCAAATATTAATACAAGTTTTTTGATAATGTATGTGATGTTATAAGATGACACTGTATCATGTTATTAATACATGTTCCAAACTGAGGCTGGCAAACTGGTCTGTCTTAACCAAATAAATGTGGTCTCTGCTTAATTTTGTATCTAAACAGTAACAAGACTCATCAAGCAGGAAGGGAAACAAAGGAAGCCCAAAATGGCAAGGAAAAAGCAGCAGGGAACATCCTTCTACATAGAGCTTTTGTCTTCCGGTAACCAGGTGGAAATGTTCCTCAAAGGGGGGATAGGACTATAAAAAGAAGGGGCAGACATCCTAAGGCACCGCTCTCTCTCTCTCTCTCTCCCCCCGCATTGATTCACTGCCTCTGAAGGGATAAATGAAGCAGCCATTGGACTGGGGGATGGATTCTGACCTAAGAAGTTTGGTCAGGAAGACTGCTGAAAGGATGTGGTGAGGAAACGTTTGCTTTGAATTTCACATCATTTGTTAACTTAGGCACAAGTTGCATTCTAGCTTTATTTTTCTTGTAACCATGTCTGACTTCTATGCCTCATTATTTCCACCCACTTAAAATCGAACTTTGTAGTCAGTAAACTTTGCTGTATCTAATCCAGTGTGTTTAAATAGAAGTGTCTGAGAAGCTAAGTTGCATACATATTAGTGCTGTTAAAGAAATAACGGACACTGTAACTTGTATTGTCCAGGAGAGGACTGGGCAGCACAGGACATACATTTCAGGAGGGAAATAGAAGACTGGGGAGTGTGTTGGGGTCACCCTGCAGTATAACCAAGGGTGGTGAGAGCCTGAGTGTAACCCAACTATTCCTGGCCAGGCTGCAGTTTCACACACATGCTCAGGGTTTGGTTTGCATGCTAGATGGTTGCTTGTGAGTGACCCAGGTGGAAGCCACTTCCGCAAGGCATTGCCAGGTTGCAGGCAGGTGTGACACAGCTGCTGATTAGTCTGGGTTGGACCCTGGTATGTCACAGCCACCAACCTAGAAACTATCCCAGTAACACCAAAGGTGTGGTGCTGACGGGCTGTAGTGTTCGATTGACATGAAAGTTTGAGGTCCCCTCAGGGATGGGCCCATGCACTGATCCATGGCTGCAGATGCACAAGGACATTGTGGTCATCACCTCCCCACAAGGAGATCCAAGGCAGGCCCAGTGATGACTTTTCCATTCTTCACTATGGTAGCAGAAATTATCCCCCACGGGTGTGCAGGTTCTGCTGGTATTATCAGTGCTCCGGGGCATGTCGGTGCCCCCTTCTCCTAAGTGGTGCCAACCTGTGAGGCATTGCCGGGTTGATTGTATTCGGAGGAAAAATTGATGATACAAGTCAGCTCTATTCTTTGCTATAATCCATGGGGAGGGGTTACAAAGAATAGACTCAAAGTCCTGCTTCCCTGAACACCCGTAGAAACAACCAACAGCCAGCAATCTCTGTATTCAGAAACTCCCAAGTCTGTCACTCCAGGTCTGTGCCCAGGAAACACTATGTCCCTACTTCCTCTAGGAGTCATGTTCGTAACAGCTCCTCCTGGCTTCTCTGCCCCCAGTGAGCTGGAGGTGCCTGGGGCAGTCCTCACTGAAAATGCCAAGGTTAGGGCAGGCTGCAAAAAGGAGGATATTCCCCAAACTGGTGGTTAATACTGAAGATTTCTGCAGCATCTCTGCAGATGCTTCTACAAAATAACTCCGAGCATGCCAGTTCCCTCCCAATTCTTTTGTTAATTTTATTTATTTCCTATAACTTATAGTCTGTGAATCAGAGTGTGACGTTGCACCCCATAATGCTTTATAGAAATATGCGTATGAGTGTAAATATGACATAACTGGAATATGGTTTATGCTAGATAGGCCATGTAACATATCTCTGCAAAGGTTATGATCAACTGGATATATTCATCCTTTTTGTATGCATGTATCATTTTTGTATTTGAAGTCATGAATATTCGCTGTGTACTTGTTTGATTTTAAGTAGCCTCAGCGAAGGATTTGGTCAGCTTCCAGCTAAAAGACTATTCTCAGTAAGTGCCAAATCAAGAAACACTTAAGCTAACAATGAACTTTGAGAGATGCCAATCCACATCTGAGTTTTCCTGGGAATGTAGCGTCGGCCTGTAAGGAACTGAGTCATGCGTGGTCATGTGACATGCCCATGTGACTCCAAACCTCCATCTTGGAGCTGGATTCTGCGTAGGAGAGGGGAAGGGATTTCCACCCACAAGAGAGAGACTATATAAGCCCCTGGGGAAACCCTCCATTTAGACTTCAGCTGGCACAAAAGATAGCCTCTCCACCCCAAGGAGATGCCTGAAAGAAACTGGAACAAAGGACAGTAACTTCCAGGATGTGACTGACTGATGGACCCAGACTAGGAGGAAGTCTAGTCTGTAAAAGAGGCTTATTGAATGTGAGATTTACCTGCCTTTAATAACCTGCCTTTAATTTTTACTCTATTAGGTTTAGACTTGCAAGTTTTATTTTATTTTGTTTTGTAATTCACTTATTACTTGGAACCACTTAAATCCTACTTTTTGTATTTAATAAAATCACTTTTTACTTATTAATTGACCCCTAGTATGTATTAATACTTGGGAGGAGGGCAAACAGCTGTGCATCTCTCTCTATCGGTGTTATAGAGGGCGAACAATTTATTGGTTTACCCTGTATAACCTTTATACAAGGTAAAAGGGATTTATTTGGGGTTTGGACTCCACTGGGAGCTGGGTATCTGAGTACTGGGGACAGGAGCACTTCTTAAGTTGTTTTCAGTTAAGCCTGCATCTTGTGGAGGATGTGGTTCAGAGTTGGATTTGTGTTTGCATCCGACAAATGTGTCTGGCTGAAACAAGGTAAGGTACTGAAGTCCCAAGCCAGGGAAAACAGGCTCAGAGGTAGCCTCAGCACATCAGGTGGCAACCCCAAAGAGGTTTCTGTTACCGAACCCATCACACAGAATTTAGGAATAAAATTGCAAAACAATTGGGGGGGGGGAAAGGATAGGAAAAGAACCAATGGACTTCAATTGCAGCAAGGTCGCTTTAGGTTGGACATTAGGAAAAACAGCCCAACAGTGAGGGTGGCTAAGCACTGGAATAACTTGCCCAGGAAGGTTGTGGAATCTCCAGCACTGGAGATTTTTAAGAGCAGGTTAGACAAACACCTGTCAGGGATGGTCTAGAT